TGTGTCCAATAATTTGGTGTCGAATCGATCGGTGTCGAATCGTACTGTGGTCAAACGGAACACGCCCTCTACAACGGCCACAGAGTCGTTGTTGAATATGACGTAGGTGTGTCCCATAGAAGATTGAAACGCGGTGTTAATGACGGCATCGCTAGGCAATCCAATCTCAGAGAAACTGCGCGGCCAACCGTCTTGCAATTGTAAACTGAGATAGGAAATCAAGTACACATAACCATCGGCGAAGAGCACGAGCTCGCCGGATGATTGTTGATAAGCCGCATCCAGCTTTGTAAAAGTGGTTGGGAGAAAGCGCAAGTATTCTTTCAACAGATGTGAATAAATATGCGGGCCCCAGTTTGAAGAAGCTATATACACATATTTATCATACGCAATGATTGTAATAGTTTTCATCAAAAGTATTACATTGTGATTGCGCACTTCGCACACATGCCTAGGTGGTAGCGGTTTGGGTTTACGCGTCAATGACGGCTGCAGCGTCGTTGTCGTCGTCGTAGTCGGTGTGACCGTCGGAGGGACAAATGTAGAGACCGGTNGTAGTTCAGGTGCATTTGGGTTAGGTCCATAATAGTTTTGCACAGCCAGAACATCATCCAGGCTGAGCGTAACAGGCCACTGTTTAACAGGCACAAACGCGTACATTACCAAATTGTCGTGTGGACTGTGCTCTATTCCTAAAGCATGTCCGATCTCATGAGTTAGTGTGTGCAACAGATGATCCTTATTCCATGGATTTTCAGTGAGCTGCACGTGACACTGTTCTTCATTGTCGATATGTATCTCAGAGACATGGTTCAGATCTCTGTTGGAATAATACGCGTGAGCGAGTACACCACCACGACCATCAAAGTCAAACGGACACATAGTATCCGAGTAATGCTTGTCCCACATAGTGTACCGTCCACCTTTATATGAAATCACAATGTTAGGATTGTGCACGCTGCGTGTAAAAGTCAGCGATGAATTCGCTGCCCACAGAGCGAACGCAGTTTCCGCTATTTGTAGATTCGCTCTAGAAGCGAACAAAAAGTTCCATGTAAGATGTGTAGTCGGCCACTTGTGTATGTATTCTTTGTTCGAGTAACGCGTCTGGATGTCTCGAACTCCACAACGCGGTCTGTTCATTGTGCGCATCGTTTCCGCGTTTAATTCACCATAGGTAGATTGTAGAATTTCTGAAAAAGCGAGACAGCGTGATTCAACGCGCTCTTGGAAATCAATGAGTTTTCGGTGTTATCCTCTAGGTAACCGTACTTGCGTAGGAACGCGATAGCGGTCTCTCTTCCATCGACAACGCTCCTCTTTGTCGTATTTGTCATCGATCTCGTCAACGCGATCGACGTCGACGCCGCGAACGCGACGAAGAGCGTGAGAAACGTCAGCGACAATGCGAGCGACGTCATCGTCTTCGCGCGCAAAAATGATACTAAAATAACAACCGATTGCCGCGCGGGTGGCGATCGAAGAAGGGAGAGCGCAACAATCGCAATAATTTACAGAACAAATAATACCAATGTTGTTGCAAATAAAAAAGCTGTTGCACGCATGGTAATATATATTTAGTACAAGGAAAACCGCAACGCGCGCCAGACGGCTGCAGCGGAAGCGTAAAAACTCTGGAAGTCCTGAGACGTTGTATATAGAGCTGCATCTGGAAGTTGCGGCTGATCTCGCAAATCCAAGACGCGCGCTAAGAATAACGCATAGACTTAATCAGAATGCTACGGATATTGCGGAGACGCTCTACTGTTCTCAGTACTGTTTCTAAGAGAAACAGTTCTGATTAGAACGTCCTGTAGGATGTGGAAATATCCACAAAATTGTGTCCAACCGCATAATGTTAATGAAATTAATATTTTGCGGTAAAACTGATGCACATGCTGGGGATAAGCATCCGCTGCAACAAACTATGTATAAAAGGATAATGCACGCAGAGCAAAATATGTAGAAAGTTTTAAAATCACAGCAATGGATAGACTAGACGAATGCGTAGACGCAGCGGACCGTGTTGTAGCTGCTGCCGAAGCTCTGATCTATAAGGCTAAACAGTTGGCTAAACAAATTACAGAAGTGAAGAAGATCAACCAAACAAACACAGAAAGCGGGAGAGGGTTCTTCTTTGTGATAACACCAAATCCTATGGAAGAGACAATCCTGCTACAACAACTGTAAGTGCCACAAGAAAAAATAAATAAATAAATAAATAAAGTAAATATAATGAATAACATTACAATATATTAAAATCACATTTAATAAAATGCACAAAATTAAATAAATTAAATACATAAAATAAAGTGAATATAATAATTAATAAAAAGTATATACAATTTAGTTATTTATTATGTGTGTTATGTTAGTATAGATTTAACATACATCACCAAATACATATGTGTAGCAAAGATGGTACAGCGATGACGTATACTTTTGAGGCCATCGTTTGGGATGGAGGATATATACAACAACAGATCACGGAGGATGACGATGCAGCCGAATAATAAAATAAAATTAATAAATATGTACAAACACAAAAGATATACTAGATAGACATTAATGTAAAAACAATAAAATGTGAATAAACAAAACAAAAAGAGAGACACGTCAAAGCATATATTATGTGTTTATACTTCCCTAAACATAGAATAATTATAGATCATAAAAATAAGTAATTGTATATATAAATGAACAAACCAAACACAATAATATATATGTAAATACATTTCTTTATTCATAAACATATAGTGATAAGTAAATGGAAAATATATAACGATTATTTTAATTTAAAGAATGAATATATAGAGTACTATATATAACGATTATTTTAATTTAAAGAATGAATATATAGAGTACTATATATAACAATTATTTTAATTTAAAGAATATATATATATATATATATAGGTAATAAGCAATACAAAGCTACAGGTCGCTCAACGTATCGTTCCGTGGTGACCACCACGCGTATAGTTTACACACGTTCTCCATAGCGCAATTTCTCGAGTGGTTTCCGCAGTTGAAAACTCGCGAATCGTCGAGATTTCGCAGACTGTCGATGTCCTCGTAGTCGATGTCGATGGTTTCGATGACGATGTCACAATTGTTGATGACGTCACCGACGATCTTTGTCAACCACTGCTTCTTTTCGACACTTTTTACATACACTAGTGTAGACCCGTTGTCTGGTACGCATGACAGAGCGTTTCGAAGCAGCGGCTTCAATCGTTGATATTCCACCGTTCCATCGGTCCAGTGTAGGCTGTGATGGTTGACCGTGAGCCAGCACGCTCGCGTCTGCTCGGCTTTTGTCAACAGGTTCCACGACATAGGTTCTCGAAACACATGGTGAATCAGCTCGCGTCCGTTCCGAAGTATCGCCGCTTCCTTAGTTATAAAGTTGTTATCTCCAATCATAAAACCTTGAAGATCCACAAATATAGGTATGTCCGCTGAGGAACGCAGCATGGTGGACATTGTCGTCGTAGATGTTGACAAAGCGTGCGACATTGTTGACAGTACGAACGCGACTGACGACTGCTCTAAACGATACGTCGCACTACGCTGGTCAGCGGGTTGTATTAGACAATACGATCGTGTATAATCAGACAGTACGCGGTTGTATCGGTGGGTACATTTTCTTCGCAGTTGAATTTAATGCGAACGTCAACGGTGGCGCTCTTGACCGTTTTGTTTTGGCGCAAACAGTCGATGACTACGAGCGGTCCGCAGTAGATGAACTTGTCCAACGTTAAAAGCGCCTCGTCCTCGTCGCATCCGTAGTAAGATCGTCTGAATTTGATGTATATGTCGTACAAAATGGCGTATCGTTCCTTACCAAAATCTAGATTCAAATCGTCGTAGGGATAGAAATCCGAATTCAGGAACAACTCTACATTGGATAAGTTGCAATGGTCAAATCGCGAGCAATCATGGCTGACAACATTCTTTTGACCGGTCTGCAACGCAAAAATGATGTAACGCGGTTTTTCCAATTGTGTAGCCGCTTTTACAGCCCATGAATGAGATGTTGTGCTCTGTAACAGCGGATACTCATACAGATCCCACGAGCGAAAACCCATGGTTAAATATTGACCGCTTTCCAAAGTGCGCAACAGCTTCAATTTGTTCACATCGTTTAACACAACGTGTGGCATTCGCCACTGCACCTTGTGCAATTCCACCGTTGGTCCGCTGTTAGCCGAAGCAAAGACGCTATTGTTGTCGTTGCGCAATCGTATCAAAATGAGTTCGTGTCTCGCGTTGATCACAACGCGTTTATAGTCCTCGCAGAATCCCAGCAATGTGCGGAAAGGTACGCAAAAATTGAACTCACCAGCATCTTTATTGGTGGACAAGTTCCATCCGGCATGTCGCAGAACGTTTCCCGTTTCACTGGTTAGGGTTGGTTTATAATAGCCGTAACCGTTAACTTAGGCCGGTGCCGTAATAGTTGGAAGATAGAGAACTCGTACTACCGTTTATAATAACTGGCAATAATCTGGTATTTTTGGCCGCAACCAAAAAGTTGGTCAACTTTTGGTTGGTTTATAATAGCCGTAACCGTTAACTTAGGCCGGTGCCGTAAAAGTTGGAAGATAGGGAACTCGTACTACCGTTTATAATAACTGGCAATAATCTGGTATTTTTGGCCGCAACAAGTTTGGCCGAAAAAGTTGACTCAAATTTAACTTTAACAGCCTACGGCCAGTAAAGGCAATTTTTAGCGATTGTTTGGTATATATACTAAGTGTACCAAAGTATAGAATGCGTTCCGTTTCATGCATATGCGTGCATGATACTATAGTATACGTCACGTGTACTATAGATAAAATGCGCGCATATGCATGAAACGGAACGTGCTATAGTTAGTATATATACAAATATAGTTTGATATATGTACGACACCGTACGATTGCAAAAAATCGCTTTGGAAAACAAAAAAAGGAAACGAGAGAAAAGAGAGAAAAAAACAAGAAAAAAAGCAAAAATGAACGACGTCGATTTGATTTTCTGGGTCGAACAATTTCGGCATTTATACGACAAAAAAAACAAAGATTACAAGAACAGAAATGTTGTAGAAAACTCTTGGCAATTTATCAGCAAAAAATTGAACATATCAAGTGAGTACAGTATATTACAATATATTAGTAAATATTAATTATCATAAAAATACTAACATCAAAGTCTTCTGTTTGTTTTGTATATGCAAACAAAAGTTAGGATATCTTGTCTTTACTGGAAAAGAGTTTCCATTTTGATAAATAACTGGCTTTCAACAATTACTTTTATTAATTTATATCGTTTTTAATAAGTTGATGTAATGCATGTTGAATATGTTACATATAAAATTATATAAATACAAATAGGGTAAACAGTACAGTTGTTGGCCTCCCAACAGTAATTGGCCATGTAGTAAAGAAGTAATAAATATAAATAAATACTATCATTATATTCTAAATTATAAACATTTTAATATTAATTAAGTTTTTCTGCTCCGAATAAAAGTAATATTATAGTATTTAAGAAGCTCAAAAACTTATTGTTATATGACAAACATTGGCCAACTGGCCAATCACTGTTTTTAAGGTTATGAAAACCACCCAGATAGCCAAATGTAAAAACTCAATATAAAGCAAATCATTGTATAGATTAAGTTGCTCGCCAATTGCTGTTGTGTTGTTTTTATTTAACGCAATG